CACTTGGTCGCGTGTGACTGGGAATCGCAGTAAGTAGTTTTTCCCACTCATATGAAAAAAAACTTTACTAAGCCTTTCAACTTCTTATGGTATAGAAATACAGCATGTGATGAAAACTGTTATTGTGTAGAACAGAAACATTGTACCAAGCTTTTAGAAGCAACATCTGTATAACTGGTCCTGCTATATTATTAGAAAAATCAATACATTAATCTTATAAGAACAGTGTACAGATGTTGCATGTAATTTATATGAATTAGAATTATGTTAAATGCACAAAATAAAAGATTCTTTGATATTTTCTCTGTGATCATTTCTTGTTTTTTTGTTGTCTATGTTTTTCTCCAGTGAAGAAGCATTTATAGACAGGAAAAATGAAGGGTGGTGTAGTAGTAATGCACTGGGTATCTTTGTGTCAATTTGTGCAGAGTTTGTTCGTTCTCTCTCAAAATCCCACGAGGTTTTCTTCTTTAGAGCGTCGCAAACTTGACTTGTTTATTAAAGCTAATGATCTCCAGCAAATTTTCTTTCTGGTGCTACCAACTGAAGCCTTTATTTTTTATTTTCCTTACTCTCATTGTAAAAATACGGTGTGGATAACCAAAACTCGTTATGCAATAGAAGTAATTTGTAAAAGTTAGCTTATATTTTGCTCACAATTTTTTTCTACCAGTTTTTAAGTCTGCGTTTGCAGCCGAAACCCGAGGAGGCATTTATTGGAGTGCCCATTTATTTATGTATGTTATATATAGGAAAAAAGAGGTTTCACAGTTTTTTCACGACCGCGAAGGACCGCTGGGATTGTCACTGGCTTAAAAAAACGCAAGTGCAATGAGTTTTGATTGTTTTAGAGATCGAAACCATAACAAAGGCAATGATAGATAAGTATAAATGGCCAGTATTTCAAGCTGTATTCAAGGACGGATTCGTCATCGGAAGTGATTTTCCCAGAAATGTACTTTTGTCAAAGTCAGTTTCGAAATCAAAAAATCAAATAATTGCTTTTTTTTCTTTGACACTTAGTATATAACAACGTGTATATAACAAAACAAAGCCGCTTCCCACCCCTCCTCCCTACGGGGAAAAAAAAACGGGGAGAGAGCGGCTGCGACACAGGCTACAAAATGAGGAATAATGCAACACGCATRTATTAAGCCTTTACCGTTATTAGCGGGAAACTCGTAGCTTTCAACTTTCCGACAAAGTTGCGTCTGCAGTATCTACTATAAGTGGAGAATTTTATTAGAAAG